AAAAAAAAAATAGAAAATGAAAAGAAATGAAGAAGATATTTTAGAAAGAATGGAGAAGAAGATGGTATTAGTTTTGAGCATGATTATGTTGATAATTTCAGGCAACTTTGACGGCGTTATGTCCGGTCCCGACAATTGTCTCAACGGCTATTTCCAGGGGCGAAGTCAGCCTCAAATTTCACCGGGGTCGGTAATATTTTTTAGCGGGGTCATTAACCTAGTAAACAGTGTTTGAACAGTATTTTATACTAAGAATTTTGAAATCTATAGGGGTCAGCTGACCCCTACATTAGCATGTAGCTTCGCCCCTGGCTATTTCACTTCCTGTGTTAACTTCTGGGGCATAGATAGGGTTGGGTTCACTCGGGCTTCAACCAAGTCTTAATTTTTTGTTTTATTTAAATGGGTAGTAGTAAAAAATAATTTAGCATATATTTTATTAATTTAATTCATGATAAAGTTATACGGTCCATATTAGTTCAATTATATTTTGTATTAAATCAACAAATTATACATATTTTTCGACATGAATCAAACTTGCCATATGTATTTTTTTGTGGTTATAGCTTTCTTTGTCATTTTTTCCTATTTGTTATCACTTATTAATGCTTGATTTAAGACACCATTATTTTAAGTATTATTTATATTACTTTATTTGTGACATAGATATCAATTACTTTTAAATAAATGATATTTGAATATGTGAAATATATAATTAAATTTCTTTAATTTGCGATAGCATATTCAATGAAACAACATTTGGAATTCCACAATTTAAGTGAAAAGTATCTAACCACTATGGTGGGTTAACTTGCCTATTTAACAAAATGGCATTTGGACTTCCATGATTTGGGTGGAATATCATTTAACAAGTATGTGTTGAGTTGAATTAATAAATCGTTCATCTCATAGTAGTATTTAAAATATGTTATATTATTTTTCTAGGTCAAATTTAAGTAGAGTACAAGAAAAAATTACGCGACACTATTACTTTTTGAATAAAAAATAACTATATCAACAAAGAGAATATACAAGTTTGTGTTAAATGTGAGCGAACTCCATAAAAATACGTTTAATAAAATAACATATGGTGTTTTTAATTTTCTCAAATAACATAGACCGGTTATTAATAATTTACTCTTCGTTCGTTTTGTAATTTACATTAAACACATAAGAAAATATTATACTCAGAATTTTTACATTATAGTAGTGATATTATTGAAGCCACATTGAGTCCTATACGTCATGTTCGAACTTGTACTAGTTTAATACATGAGCATGTTTGACTCGAATCGTTTAATAAATTGAGTGATATCAATTAAGCTCCGCACGTTGGAATTAAAATTTCATTTTTTTTTTGTTTTATTATATGAATAAGTTGAGATTCACTTTTTACGAGTCCGACTGAGTTATGTTTTATTTTTTGGCTTTTTTTTTTTTTTT